ATTTAACAGCTTGAAACAACAAATATGTATTAACTCACATCTTCCGTGGGTCAAGAAATGTAGAGTAGCAGGACTAATGATTCTGACTGAAGATCTCTCATGAGGTTGAAGTCAATAAACTAGAGCTATCGTCTCATCTGAATGCTTGACTGGAGAAGAATCTGCTTCCAAGCTCACTTATGTGGTGGTTGTCAGAATTCAGCTCTTTATAGGATGTTAAATTGAAGGCCTAATTTGAATAAAGTATATTGAAATAGGAAGAGAGGAAGTCAAAATTTCTCAGTTAGCAGATGACATGATTGTGTATTTAGAAAAGCCCATTGTCTCAGTCCAAAAACTCCTTAAGCTGATAAACAACTTCAGCAAAGTCTTGGGACACAAAATCAGTGTGCAAAAATCACAAGCATTCCTATATATCAAAAATAGACAAGCAGAGAGTCAAATCTTGAATGAACTCCCATTTACAATGGGAGTTCTACAAAGAGAATAAAATACCTAGGAATACAGCTTACAGGGGATGAGAAGGACCTCTTCAAGGAGAACTACAAAACCACTGCTCAAGGAAATAACAGAGTACACAAACAAATGGAAAAACATTCTATGCACATGAATAGGAAGAATGACTATCATGAAAATGACCATATTGCCCAAAGTAATTTATAGATTATATGCTATTCCCATCAAGCTACCAGTGACTTTCTTCACAGAATTAGAAAAAAATACTTTAAGTTTGAAATGGAATCAAAAAAGAGCCCATAAAGCCAAGACAATCCTAAGCAAAAATAACAAAGCTGGAGGCGTCACACTACCTGACACATAGACCAATGGTACAAAATGGAGACCTCAGAAATAACACCACACATCTGTAACCATCTGATCTTCAACAAACCTGACAAAAACAAGCAGTGGGGAAGAGATTCCCTATTTAATAAATGGTGCTGGGAAAACTGGCTAGCCATATGCAGAAAAGAGAAACTGGACCCCTTCCTTACACCTTGTACAAAAATTAAGTCAAGATGAATTAAAGACTTAAAGTAAAACCCAAAACAATAAAAACCCTAAAAGAAAACCTAAACAATACCATTCAGGACATAGGTATAGGAAAAAACTTCATGACAAAAACACCAAAAGCAATTGCAACGAAAGTCAGAATTGACAAATAGTACCTAATCAAACTAAAGGGCTTCTGCACAGCAAAAGAAATTATCATCAGAGTGAACAGACAACCTATAGAAGGGGTGAAAATTTTTGCAAGCTACTCATTTGACAAAGGGCTAATAACCAGAATCTACAAAGAACTAAAATAAATTTACAAAACAAACAAACAAGCAAACAATCCCATTGAAAAGTGGGTAAAGGATACAAACAGACACATCTCAAAAGAAAACATTTGTGCAGCCAACAAACATATGAAAAAACGTCATCACCACTGGTCATTAGATAAATGCAAATCAAAACTACAATGAGATACCATCTCATGCCAGTTAGAATGGCAATTATCAAAAAGTCAGGAAACAACAGATAGTAGTAAGGCTATGGAGAAATAGGAACACTTTTACAGTGGTGGGAGTGTAAATTAGTTCAATCATTTTGGAAGACAGTGTGACGATTCCTCAAGGATCTAAAACGAGAAATACCATTTGACCCAGCAATCCCATTACTGGGTACATACCCAAAGGATTATAAATCACTCTATTATAAAGACACATGCAACACATATGTTTATTGCAACACTATTTTCAATAGCAAAGACTTAGAACCAACTCAAATGCCCATCAATGATAGACTGGGTAAAGAAAATGTGGCACATATACCCCATGGAATACTATGCAGCCATAAAAAAGAATGAGCTCATGTCCTTTGCAGGGACATGGATGTAGCTGGAAGCCATCATTATCAGCAAACTAACACAAGAACAGAAAACCAAACACTGTATGTTCTCACTCATAAGTAGGAGTTCAACAATGAGAACACATGGACACAGAGAGGGGACCATCACATACCAGGGCCTGTCAGGGGTTGGGGCACAAGGGGAGGGAGAGCATTAGGACAAATACCTTAATGCATGCAGGGCTTAAAACCTAGATGATGGTTTAATAGGGGCAGCAAAGCACCATGGCACATGTATACTTAAGTAACAAGCCTGCACATTCTGCACATGTATCCTGGAACTTAAAATTAAAAAAAAAAAAGTGTGTCAGACCACAACCAATGGGAGGAGAATTATTTTTTGACATATTTTTAGAACTACCACAGATGCTGATGAATAAGGATGCGTCTCACATAAGGAACTCTTAGGGCTGAGGAAAGGAAAACTGGCTTTGCTTGTTGTATGGAAACGTTATTACCTCTCAGCTGAGAAAATAAGAAGAGATAATGCAGTATTGGCTGGAAAAAGAGAACTTGTTACAGTGGCTGAGGCATCCTCTTTCTGATCCTTCTCAAGTGCTTATAGTCTGGATAACATGAGAGAAAATATGAAATCTAAAAAGTAGTTTGGAGTTTAAATCAGAGAACCAGTTTCGATCAAACTGAATTGAATAACCTTTGTGAAATTGCTGAACTCTGATCCTCAGTTTTGTTATCTATACAGTGGGAATGAAACCAACATCCATTTAGCAAAGAGTTGTCATGAAGATTGGGTGAGATCAATTAAAGGCAAAATGTACTTTGTGATGTGTACAAGTTACAAAATTATTTTTTATTAGCCATAAAAAGCCTCAATGTTTCAGTACCTTTTTCTTCCTTTTTATGACTGCCACTAAGGACAATCTCATCTTCTCAAGCTTGAGACATCATTTCTTTACAGCATTATTATCAGTAATGAGTTTTTCAAAATCTCACTCTCTAGCTAAGCATACTATTTTGCTCCAGGTTTATATACTGACAAGGTTATAAATCACAACCAGATGGTTAATTAGATCATAGGGTACAAGTGCATGGTTTACTTTTCCATCCTCCTAGTTCCTGTTGTAGTGACTGAAGTTCTCCCTCTCTTTCTCTTTCTCTTTATTAAAGTGTGTCGTCTCTTCCTAGTTTTCCCTCCTGAAGTGCTCTGTTACTATTTTTCATCCAGGGTGAGCATTCTTAAAAAGCCCTATATCTAAGGAAACAGGAATTCATGCTGTTTTTCCATTTCCTGCAATGAAGCAAAACTAACTTAAGACTACGTAGTGCTTCTAGGTTCTGTCTCCCTTAATTCAGTTAGTCATTTTTTTCTAATTTATTTTCTAGACCATAGTATTTGTTAAATTTGCTTTCCTAAGCAAGAAAAAATATTTGATTTTATAATGATTAAGCATTTCTCTTCTCTTGTGGATCTTAAGAGGAAATAAGTCAATGATAAGTAATTTCATGATCCCAGTGTTTCAACTGCAGGTAAACAAACAGTGGAAAACTGGTCCTGCCTGGATTGGCATACAAGAGCAAACAGGGAATGGAGAAGAAAGTAAGGATACTATAATGGTCTGGTCCATGGGGTTTGCACCCTATTCTATTCCTCAGACTTTGCACTGACCACAAGTGTTGGTTCATCATCGCCAAGCCAGGGATCCAGATGAGCCATTAAAAGTCTATCTAACTTCGGCTGCAACTGTGCCATGGGAGAATCTCAGAATCTGATCAGTGGTGGGAGATTGAAATACTACCCATTACACTTAGTGAGTTAGCTGTGTTTCATTTTCTCTGACTGGTGTTTGCTATTTTATCTGGATAAAATCCTTAAGGAAAATGGAGCCGGGAGTTGATACAGAACATGTTTAATTTACCTTTCTAACAGGACAAATGGACCAAAACATGGATTTTTAACATTGGCATTTTGCTTATACAGTCATTGACATAATGCACTTCCAGACACTTAGCAAGCTCTAGCGTGCTAACTTCACTCTGTTAGGAGACAGCCTAGGGTCCACAGTGAAAGTGAATCCAAGAGAGTTCCCTGAGGTTTTTTTACATTGTCTTTTCTCCACAGACATGTGAGGGAAGGGGTTTATTTTCCCTCAACAATCAGCTACAGTCTATGTGTCCCTGATCCCCAAGGTGAAGAAGCTCCTGCAGAACTTCATGCTTTGCCTGAAAACCTTCACAGACTTCACCTGCCCTTACAGCCTCTTCTATAGCACTCGGTCCTGAGACAATGAGCTGCTTCTCATTATCAACAAAATGGAATGTGTCTGCTGCACACTGGAAATGCTGACGTCACTTTCAATCCCCCCCCCAACCCCACCGCACCCCACCCCATGCCCCTGATCTCTTGATGCTCCAACCCATGTCAGTGTGAGCTTGGAGGCGGCCTCTGGAATTGCTGCCCTCTGGGTAAATGGGAAGCTGGTGGGGAGGAATGGTATATGGAAGGGGTATTTGGTGGGGGTGGAGGCTAAGATCATCCCAGGACAAGAGAAGGATTCCTTTGGGGCACATTTTGATGCAAACCAATCCTTTGTTGGGGAGATATGGGATGTGTTTTTGTGGGATCATGTGCTCCCTCTAAAGGAGCTGTGTGCCACCTATTACAGTGGCAGCCTCCGGAATTGGCACACCCTGATTTATGGAGATAATGGCTATGTGGTAACTAAGCCCAAGGTGTGGGCTTAAGTCTCATTCTCTTTGGTCATCATTCGTGTTTTGTGATAATCACATATTCTTTGAGATTGAATGCATTGATTTTGTTTCCTTTTTCTGGCTCTGTTAAGATAGTGTAAACTAGATGGCGCGGTAGCTCAAGCCTATAATCCCAGCACTTTCGGAGGATGAGGCGGGTGGATCATGAGGTCAAGAGATCGAGACCATCCTGGTCAACAATGTGAAACCCTGTCTCTACTAAAAATACAAAAATTAACTGGGCATGGTGGTGCGCGCCTGTAGTCCCAGCTACTTGGGAGGCTGAGGCAGGAGAATTGCTTGAACCCAGGAGGCTGCTGTGAGCCGAGATTGCGCCATTGCACTCCAGCCTGGGTAACAAGAGCGAAACTCCGTCTAAAAAAAAATAATAAAAAAAAAAGACAAGGGATAAGTAGGATTTCAATATACATTATTTATTGTTGCAAAAATTACTTTGGGTGAATTGCACCATAATTTTCTGCAACGTCAAACTACAGGAAGGGGAACACACTACTTTCAGTACTGGTCACCAGTCTTACAGAGCCCCGTACCGTTGTGGGAGGTCCTATGGGGATTCTGGGCACTCACATTCAGCAATCTATAAAACTGATGTGACTACTGGGAGAGGCTTTCAGAAGTGGGCTGATATAGTGAGCAGGAATCCCAAAGAGGGAGGCTCAAAAGGGGTTTTCACAGGAGAAGGGTTGTGAGGGTATTACCTTTGTATTCACCCCAGAAAGGACTCAGAGGTATCCCCAGAAAACACCTAGATAAAGGCAAAGATAAGTTGCCCTGGAGATCTCTCTTTATACCCACTCAGCTCGCTCTCTTACAGGTACAGCTCTGAAGGAGCAAATCTTTTACTCTTTCAGGCAACGTTTCATAAACATGATTTCCCTTCTTGGACCTTCACCCTTAGGGATTCCCAGGTCCTTTGTTTTACAGGCACTTTCAATGCATTTTCAATGGTAACACTTGGACAGTTTTGGTAGGTGACAGATACAGATAGATTTTTTTTTCATCAGCCCTTTATGGACCAAAAGGCATTTGGCAAGTTCTGTCTTTTTTCTTCCAGGTCAAATAATTCTAAAATCTTATTCCTTTCTCACAAATCAAAATAACTTTCTCCTTTTGAAGGCAATAACAATATGAGTTGGTAGACTCCCAAGCTCTTGTTTAGAACAGTGTTTAAACTTAGAGTTTAAAGTAGGTACCCCACTATATACAGAAGATAAGTTCATCCGTGTAGAAATGAAAAGGTTAAAGGCAAGGCATGGATTGTCTTGTAGCATGGATTTCCATGAAAAGGGTAAAGGCAAGGCATGGCTTGTCTTGAAGCATGGATTTCTGTGAATAGGGTAAAGGCAAGGCATGGATTTCCTTGTAGAAATGAAAATGGTAAAGGCAAGTTATAGATCAGATTATGTTCTACACAGAGAATAATGAAAATCATGGGCTTATTTCCAGATCTAAGACAGCGAGAGTTAGTTGGAAGGTGATAAAAATAAACTCAATTACAAAAAAAAAAAAATCCTCAGATATCCCTATACTTGTGAATTCAGTATTTCATGTGTTACTCCCACAGAAAGCATATATAAGCGCAGTGAAATTCAGAGGCTGGATGTGATCATGTTGCTTACTAACACTGAACATACCGGTAATAGAGACTCACCAAGGAAATAGTTCTAATGTGAGCCTCAACAAAATTGGAAAACAATTTCATGGGTCCCCAAGTCAGATGAGAATGTTTAACGCTAATAATATTTTTTCTGGAATGTCAAGATCTGCTCCTCTTGCCAATGCTCAAAGTAGAAAGTGATGATAAGTGGGAAGGTGGTTTTGACTGTGTTCCTAACACATCCTGTACACCAACCGTGTCCTCTTTAAAGTTTTAGAGCTCAATATCTATATGACATTTAGGTTGACCTGTCAACCTATTACTTCAAATAGGTGTTATGCAGCCCACTTTTCTGCTATCGACAAACTGATAACAATCAGCTACTCCTGGCTTACAATTCCCTACAGATTTGCACCAGAGAGCAGCAACTGACCACTCCCCTTGTGGTAACCTGTGAGGTTAGTCGAAGGTATAGGAGAATGATGGTAAAAACAAAGTCAAGCCACAGACACTCTTGGTTCCTTAATGCAGCATTACCACCAAATTTTGCAACTCTCTTTGGTTAGAGGATGAATGATAGGATTCAATTTTCTTGAGCTTACAAAAATGCCCAGACTACGATAGACTATATGTCAAACTACCAAAGATCCTAGGCAAATGGGTTTTTGCCAATAGCACGGTGAAGGGCATCCTTGACCTCCTTGTTTCTCAAAGTGTACACAACAGGATTAAGTAGTGGAGTAATGACGGTGTATGTCACTGAAATCAGCTGGTCCTGATCCCTGGTGTTCTCTGTTTTGGGCTTGAGGTAGGCAATGGAGGCACAGCCATAATGGATGATAACCACAGTGAGGTGGGAGGCACAAGTTGCAAAAGCCTTTCTCCGGCCCTCGGCAGAGGTGATCTTGAGGATGGCAGAGATGATGAGGATGTAGGAGATGAAGACCAAACCCATGGGTACCACAATAACCAGGGAACTAACCACAAAATTAATTATGTCATGTACAGTGGTATCAACACAGGAAAGTTTCATAACTGGGAGGATATCACAGAAATAATGGGGCACCTCTTTATCACAAAAAGGCAGCCTGAACACAGATGAAATTTGAACTACGGCCACAAGCAGCCCAACGCTGAAGGCCACACATACCAGCTGGGCACACACTTTCTTGTTCATGATGATCATGTACCTCAAAGGGTTACAGATGGCCACATAGCGGTCGTACCCCATTACTGTGAGCAGAAAGCAGTTGTTGATGGCCAAGGTAATAAAAAAAAACATCTGGGTGGCACAGCCCGCCAAAGAGATAGGTTGTCTTAGACTTAAGAGACTGGAGAGCATTTGTGGTACAATGACAAAGGTGTACACAGTCTCTGAAGTGGAAAGCATACTAAGAAAGAAGTACATGGGGGTGTGAAGGTGACGGTCAATGCTGATAATTGTCACAATTATGACATTGCCAGCCAGAGTTAAAAGATACAAGGTAAGAAATATCACAAAGAGGGTGAGCTTGTATTCATGAAAGCTGGAGAAACCCTGGAAAACAAACTCCCTTACCACTGTGTGGTTCTCTCTCTTCATTGGATAAACAAACAGATTGAAAATACTGTGACAGGTCAATTAGTCAGAACACATCAGTGACCAATGCTTTGGGCAGGTGAATCCTCTAAGGAGATAATAAGGATTCTGTTCCTGGATGAATGCCAAGTTAATGGGAATGACTGTTCACCTATAGATATAGATAAAAAACACAATAAGAAAACAATTTCATGCATGGCCATGTATATATATAAGGGTATAGAAGAATAAATAGGGATGAAAAAAAATGGACGAAAAGACACCTGGGGTAAGTTTGAAAAAGATTTCCTAGTGACCTAGCACATAAGTGTTAGAGAAAAACTTGGCTAAAGAAATAGGAAATGCATAGTTGAATTTGAAAGAAATTTTCTTTTAGGTTACAGTTTCAGATTTTGTTTACCTAAAACAAATTTTGCAACCTCTTCCACTTAGTTTAAATCACAGTTTCGATTATCTTTTTAAAGGTCTTTCTTTCTGGGTTGCCAAACAAGACAATACCCTCTGCTCCAACATAGCATAAGTGTTTACTTTCTCCCTGTTGCACTTGTCTGCATGTTTCACGGACTCTTTACAAGTCACCAAACAGTTTCAAACATGCATTTCCCCCCACATTTTTTAAAACAAGAGATGTTCCTCTTTTTTCAATGCTTGACTTGAGTCTTCTCCTTCTCAGAAAGTCTTCTCAGGACTAAATACAAACTGTCAATCCAATTCCCCATAGTGTTGCTAAGTGTTTCCCAGTAGCTTGTTTCCGTGGACTGTGTTTATTTCTATGCATTTTCTAGCTTGTACTTAGATGAGAATTTTCACAGGTATTCTGGCTCACTAGTAGAGTAAACTGTCTTTTCCAATTTCTTCAGAATTATAAACTTTGGTGAAATTAGTTTACACATTTCTCCCTCTGTCCCCTATGTGGGGAGTTATTGGGCATCAAAAAGGTCTCATTTTCAAAAAGAGTACAACAATAATAAATAGTTCCTATGGCACTTTTGAGTTTATAGAGTTTTTGCATGTATTATGTAACATCATAAAAATCCTATGTATTAGGTACTTATTATCCTTCTCTTGCTAAAACACCTAGGGTTAGATGATTGCACAAATTAGCTCGATCTTCTCATTCTAAGGCTAGTGTGATTTGCCCTATACCACAAGTGTCTAAGAGGCATCATAATCACAAAATAAATGAGAAAGAAGATACTTTTTGTTACTCTTTTTGAAAAGAATTAATGCATTTCGCTTGCTCTGAGAATGAGATTACATTGGGAAAGAATTAAAAGCTGGAGAATCTTAGAATATTTCCTCTAGATAAATAAATATTATTACCTTAGTGACAATGTATGTTCATTCTTCTTGGCTTGATATTTTCACTTCCAATTATTTATTTTAAGGAAATAATCAGAGATAAATATTAGGATGTATATATAAAGACATTTTTATTTTACTTATTACAGTGAAGACTAGAAACAATGTAAATGAATAAAGGAATAATTAAATTAATTATAAAATATCCATCTGATGGGAACTATGCTGCCCTTAAGAATCTACAAAGCGCTGACATGAAAAAATAAACCACATAAGTAAATTGATTGAGAAATAAATGATAGATAGACCACAAGTCTGTAAAATGAAAAGAAGCAGAAAAGAGAAGAAAGAACAAGGAAGGAAAAACATTCAATGACACACGTGCCATTAAAAAAATATAACAAACGCTAAAAATATATTTTTTGAGTAGTGTATGGAGAATCTATCACCTATCATGTCTAATATCTATCTATCTAATATCTTCTCTATTAAAAATATCATAAATCTTTAATACATAATAATATATTATGAATCTAATATTTAATGAAATATTTAAACATTAAAAATTAATGCAAAAATTTATAATAAACCATATTATAAGAAAGGTTAATGCTGACAATTACTACAGTGGGATGCAAGTACTTGAATGAAGGCAAATTTTGGAGTTTTCTTACTAAAGATTTTGAAAAATCAAAAAATATTAAATAGTTTCAAAATATTGAGAAAAATATGAAGCAAAATATGTGTTAATTTTCCTTGAAGATGTAGTAATGGGCTAGTTCTTCACCATTCCTATGTAACTGATATTCATGATGTGTTACTGAACAAGATAAACGTCAAATGTCTATGTAACTAGAAAGTCAATCCTACCTACACTAAGGAGAATAAAAAAATAAATAGGTGACAGAAGAGAAAAGATTGCACTAAGCTTGTGCATTCCTGCAATTGCAACTCCATTCTCATCATCCCCTTAGGAAAACAATGACTCATCAACATAGCAAAAGCCCCCATGGGCGATAACACTAGATTAGTAGGATCATGATAGCCGAAACAAAATGCCAACTTCCTTCTCTGGAATCCTTGTCACTGAGAAAAACAGCATTTTGCAACACTTTCTGTTCCCTTGTATTTTGGATCGTTAGCTAAAAATATTTCTACTCCTAAAAAATTTTTAAAAATGTTCTTTTAGAGAAATCATTTTCTGCCTAGACTTGACAATGAATTCTGGAAAAGAGGTTAAAATTATTCATTTCATTGTTCAAGTCTTTCCAATTGGAAGCAAGCTGGAAAAGCCCAGGTGTTTCATAGTTTTCAGTCCTTGAAATATAACAGAATCATAGGACCTTAGATTTAGGTGGTAATTTTAAAAGCACAGCATTCCTCATGAACAGTCCCTCAAATTCTGCTTCAGTGCTTTCAATGATTGGAAATTCATTACCTTATAAATAAGCATTTTCTCTGGTTTTTTTTTTTTTAGATACAAACTCTTCTGGAAAAATAAACTAGGCTTTTTAAATTTTAAAAGTGCTCATAGAAGGAAAATCATGGGTACAGAAGGATATAAATGTAAAAGTTTTTTTTCTCCTTCTCTACATTTTCTTGTCCAGAGGTAAAGATGATTCATGGGTTTTCGTTGTTGGTATTGCTGTTTCTGTCCAGACATATTTTATGTACAATCATGCATATTTTTGTATCATTTCAATTTTACACAAATGGAATTAGGCAGTACATACAATTCACAACTATGTTTTCCCATGTATTATATCTTGACTACTTTCCATAATAGTACAGTGATCTATCTCACTCTATTTCCAATGGTGCATACTATTTCATTATATAGATTAATATAGCTGTACTATCATCAATTCTATTTTTGATTACTTTAATTCTTAGAAAATATTAATTCCTATCAACTAGATATTTATCTCCTTGCAACTTACCACCTCCCACATCATTGCACTTTCTATTTTCTCTTCAATATGATAGTATTTCAAATATTTGAAGATCATTATTATGTCTCTGCTAAATTTCATGTCCTTCAATCCATTACCACAGCAAGGCAAGCATGAAGAAATATAATATTAATGGACATGAGATGCAATATAACCAATCAAATACTGCAAACTATACAGGGAAAATAGTAAGATTTTGAAAAATGCACATGGTATTTCATTTTCATTTACTTCTGCCAACAGCACTTGCTGCTTCTGACCTTGGCAATAGGAAGGAAAAGGAAGCACTTTCCAGATAGTAATCTTTAAAAGGCAGGAAAGGATTGAGTCTATTCAGAGAAAGCAGGTGAAAAAACTTTGTGTTCAAGAGGCATTTACAAGGGAAACACAAACACACAAAGTGAGAAAAATCCAGTTCTCTCTAACATCAAAGAGAGCCTCAAATTGTTGCTATGTTCCTTGAGGCCAGGGGCATTGGTTCATTTGGCCCGAGACGTGGCCCAGGGAAAAAAATACAGTCTCTTAAACTGCAGATTTCAGGAGCTGCATATATTTAATTTCCCGAAGGAGAAGAGAATCCCTCTTGCTCCAAGTCTCCTGAGACCATCCCTTTGCAAATTCCTCCCAGGCTACCAAGAGGTAAGGAAGATAGAACCTGAAAGGTGGTCTCAAGGGTTTCATTAGAAATGTGGGTCACTGGTGAAGATGTTTTCATTTGCCTACTGACTGTTGGGGATTGTTGGAGTGTAGAAACTAATACTGCATTGATGATGATGATGATGATGATGATTATACTTTAACTTCTGGGGTACATATGCAGAACGTACAGGTTTGTTACATAGGTATACACATGCCTTGGTGGTTTGCTGCATCCATTCCCCCCGTCATCTACATTAGGTATTTCTCTTAAAGTTAGCCCTCCCCAATCTTCCTGCCCCTTGCTGTCCCTCCCTTAGACCCTCACCCCACAACAGGCCCCTGTGTGTGATGGTCCCCTCCCTGTGTCCATGTGTTCTCATTGTTTAACACCAACTTGTGAGTGAGAACATGCAATGTTTGGTTTTCTGTTCTTGTGTCAGTTTGCTGAGAATGATGATTTCCAGCTTCATCCATGTCCTTGCAAAGGACGTGAACTCATCTTTTTTATGGCTACATAGTATTCCATGGTATATATGTGCCACATTTTCTTTGTGTATTATATCTTTGATGGGCATTTGGGTTGGATCCAAGTCTTTGCTATTGTAAACAGTGCCACAATAAATATATGTGTGCATGTGTCCTTATAACAGAATGTTTTATAAACCCTTGTGCATATACTCAGTAATGGAATTGCTGGGTCAAATGGTATTTCTATTTCTGGATCCTAAGGAATCACAACACTGTCTTCCATAATGGTTGAACTAATTTACACTCCCACCGACAGTGTCAAAGCGCTTCTATTTCTCCACATCCTCTCTAGCATCTGTCGCCTCCTGATTTTTTAATGATTGCCATTCTAACTGGCGTGAGATGGTATCTCAATATGGTTTTGATTTGCATTTCCCTAATGACCAGTAATGATGAACTTTTTTCCATATCTTTGCTGGCTGCATAAACGTCTTCTTTTGAAAAGTATCTGTTCATATCTTTTGCCCACTTTTTGATGGGGTTGTTTGTTTTTTTCTTGTAAACTTGTTTAAGTTCTTTGTGGATTCTGATTATTAGCCCTTTGTCAGATGGGTGGTTTGCAAAAATTGTTTCCCATTCTGTTGGTTGCCAGTTCACTCTAATGATAGTTTCTTTTGCTGTGCAGAAGCTCTTATATTTAATTAGATCCTATTTGTCTATTTTGGCTTTTGTTGCCATTGCTTCCGGTGTTTTAGTCATGAAGTCCTTGCCTATGCCTATGTCCTAAATGGTATTGCTTAAACCAGGAAGAAATCGAATCCCTGAGTAGACCAATAACAAGGTTTGAAGTTGAGGCAGAAATTAATAGCCTGCCAAACAAAAAAAGTCCAGGACCAGACAGGTTCACAGCAGAATTCTACCAGATGTACAAAGAGGAGCTGGTACCATTGCTTCTGAAACTGTTCCAAACAATACAGAAAGGGGGAATCCTCCCTAACTCATTTCATGAGACCAATATCATCCTGATACCCAAACCTGGCAGAGACACAACTAAAAAAGAAAATTTCAGGTCAACGTTCATGATGAACATTGATGTGAAAATCCTCAACAAAATACTGGCAAACTGATCCAACAGCACATCAAAAAGCTTATCCATCATGATCAAGTCGGCTTCAACCCTGGGATGCAAGGCTGGTTCAACATATGCAAGTCTATAAATGTAATCCAGCACATACACAGAACCAAAGATAAAAAAACACATGATTATCTCAACAGATGCAGAGAAGGCCTTTGAAAAAATTCAACAGCCCTTTATGCTAAAAACTCTCAATAAGCTAGGTATCAATGGAACATATCTCAAAATAATAAAAGCTATTTATGAAACACCCAAAGCCAATATCATACCGAATGGGCAAAAACTGGAAGCATTCTCTCTGAAACCTGGCACTAGACAAGGATGCCCTTTCTCACCACTCCTATTCAATATAGTATTGGAAGTTCTAGCCAGAGCAGTTAGGCAAGAAAAAAAGAAATAAATAAAGCATATTCAATTAGGAAAAGAAGAAGTCAAATTGTCTCTATTTGCAGATGACATGATTGTATATTTAGAAGACCCTATCATCTCAGCCCAAAATCCCCTTAAACTGATAAGCAACTTCAGCAAAGTCTCAGGATACAAAATCAATTTGCAGAAATCACATGCATTTCTATACACCAATAACCGACAAACAGAGAGCCAAATCATGAGCAAACTCCCACTCACAATTGCTACAAAGAGAATAAAATACCTAGGAATACAACTAACAAAGGATGTAAAGGACATTTTCAAGGAGAACTACAAACCACTGCTCAATGAAATAAGAGAGGACACAAACAGATGGAGAAACATTCCATGCTCATGCTTAGGAAGAGTCAATATCATGAAAATGGCCACACTGCCCCTAGTTATTTATAGATTTAATGCTATGCCCATCAAGCTACCAATGACCTTCTTCACAGCACTGGAAAAAACAACCTTCAACTTCATATGGAACCAAAAGAGAGCCTGCATAGCCAAGACAATCCTAAGCAAAAATAACAAAACCAGAGGCATCACGCTACCTGATTTCAAAGTATATTACAAGGCAATAGTAATCAAAATAGCATGGTACTGGTACCAAAACAGAGATATAGACCAATGGAACAGAACAGACCCTGGAGGCAATGCCACATATCTACAACCATCTGATCTTTGACAAATCTGACAAAAATAAGCAATGGGGAAAGGATTCCCTGTTTAATAAATGGTCTTGAGAAAACTGGCTAGCAGTGTACAGAAAGCAGAAACTGGACCCCTTCCTGACACCTTATACTAAAATTAACTCCACATGGATTAAAGACTTAAACATAAGACCTGACACCATAAAAACTCTAGAAGAAAACCTAGGCAAAACCATTCAGGACATGGGCATAGGCAAGGACTTCATGACTAA